AAAAAAAAAAAGGATTATACAGTTGCAGTGTTAACTCCCTTCTTTGCAAAGAAGGCCACTCTAAACATTACTAGTATCACTCTGCCAATGGTATACAAGTAGTTCTTGATTTATCGAGCTCAACATTTCTGTGGCTAAGCCAGACATTTATTTATTTATAGAAAGAGCGAAAATTTCAATGTCTATATAAACAGTGTGTTGTCTGGGTATAGTTGTTTTGAGTAATCATCATAACAATAACATTCATAACATTAGTAGTCCTCTTATAGTAACAATAATATAACATTGATAATAAACATATAGTGACAATAATGTTAACCTATCCATTTAGTAAACTATTTTTACAAAATTAATCATTCTTGTATTTAAAAAAAAAAAAACTACTTCTGTTTCTGCTTGATAACCATTGATAGAACGAATCCCATAATAAGAGATAATCAGTGTCTTCCCTGTCTTTAATTTTAAATATTAATCTGTCCATTTTTACACATTCTAGTATTTTTTAAAATTACATTCTCTTCTGCAGGTATCTCTTATGTTCTTGCAGTGTTGTGAAAATACAATTCTAACTGTTGTTAACACATGTAGTATTAGTATATATTCTCTTTATTATATTTTTCTGGTATGAAACCCAACAGAAACATTTCTGGTTTTAAATCTATGTATTCCTTTATCAATTTTTCTATTCAAGTGTATTTTTGTATTTTTGTCCAATATTTTTTTTCAGCCTTTGGACAGGTGAGACATTTGTAAAGTGAATTTTATGCCATTTCTTGCCACCGTTGTTAAGTGAATCACTATAGATGTTAAGTTAGCAGCATGGTTGTTAAGTGAATCCGGCTCTTCCATTGACTTTGCTTGTTAGAAGGTTGTAAAAGGGGGTCATATAACCCCGGGACACTGTGACTGTCATAAATATGACTCAGTTGCCAAGGGTCTGCATTTTGATCACATGACCTATATTATTTCAGATAAGTGACTTGTCTAGACTCTACTTAAAAACCTCCAGTGATGGAGCGCCCATGATTTCTGGAGGCAAGCTGTTCTACTGGTTAATTGTCCTCACTGAACCTCGAACGGTCACTAAATGAACTGTTGTAAGTCGATGACTACCTGTAATAAGTGTAAAATGAAAATTTTGGTGACAGAATTAGCTCACTCCATTATGTTCCATCTGGTTAGTAACATCAGTTAGCAGGTTCATCTCCTTTAGGAGATTGTGTTAACCTCTTTCAATTGGCAAAGTCCATTTTTACTAAGAGTTGACAGCTGTCAAGAGATGTCAAAAATGTATTTTATTTTGTAGTATTTTATTTAAATTTTATTTTATTTTATTTTATTTTATTTTATTCCCCTGCAGTGGGTGAAGGAAGAGGATCCCGACGTGCTCTGCTTACAAGAAACAAAGTGTGCAGAGAAACAGCTGCCTGCTGACATTCGGGATCTGGCCGAATACCCCCATAAATTTTGGGCCTGTTCCAGTGACAAGGAAGGCTACAGTGGCGTGGCCCTGCTCTCCAAGAACAAGCCTCTGGACGTCACCTATGGGATTGGTAAGGACTGCTCTATCCTTATTTTAGGATGTTGTTCCTCTTAGACTGGTGAGTTATCCCCTACAAAAGCACAAACAGTGAATCCTTGTTGCTTTGGTGAAAAAAGCTACCTCTCTCTGTTCTTGCAGGGGGTGGGGAGTAAATAGAGGTAAACTGGGATAGAAGAGTGCATTCCTTTTTTTAAAAAAAAAAACAAATTTTATTCAGTTTTTCAATTTGAAAACAAAAATCTCTTTTTAGTGGACAACATATTTCCAGGTCATCACCTTTACATACAAATATGACAGCAATTATACATTCATATATGCATACTTAATTCTATTATTACCTTTTCCATTCCAAATTTTCAGTAAGGAGAGAAACAAACACCTAATTCTAGCCTCTTTCATTAATCTCAATCGAAACATCTTTTTGTTTCATGTCAATTAATTCAAATATAATTCTTTAATATTTATTTTTAAAATAAAAATAAACAATATATATTTGGCTAATAATAATAATAAAGCTACGAATGTCTCTTCTTGCTTTTAATAGTCTATATTAACTTATTAATTTAACTGGTTCTTTAGTCTGTCATATTCCATTTCCATTACACATTTTTTTAATGGATTCTAAATAACACATAATTGAAATGAAACAAAAAGATGCTTCGATTGAGATTAATGAAAGAGGCTAGAATTAATGTGTTTGTTTTGCTCCTTATTGAAAATTTGGAATGGAAAAGGTAATAATAGAATTAAGTATCCATATATGATTGTATAATTGCTGTCATATTTCTATGTAAAGGTGATGACCCGGAAATATGTTGTTTAAAATTTGTTAAAAGGGGAAAGGAAGAAAGAGAGGGATATAAACTGGAATGAGAAAAGATATGGGGAAAAGAGGGGGAGGAGAAGCAGTAAGAAACAGGCATATGAAAGAAAGAAATATAGAAATAGTAAAATGTTGAAAAGAAATTGTTTTTTCAGAGATAATGATTGACGAATTAAAAAGAGGATACTGCAGGGTGACAAGGGGTAACCAGAAGATTTCTGCAATTAAAAATATTTAGAAAATAGGGTAAAATAGATACTGATAACCCTTATTAAAAATTAAGGGGAGAAAATATGCTGTGGAATTCAATTGAAAAGATGTAATGATTAATGGTTTATTGGGAATTAAGATGAGGGAATAAAGGTACATTCTAATTATTAAGGTGCCACATTCAAAATAGTAAAAGTGGGGAAACCTATATTAGAAGAATGCATTCTTAAGGGCCTGTGTAAAAAAGCAAGCTCTCCAGATTGCTGTCCAATTAAAGAGGTTTTGAAGGTGGCTAGGTCTATTGTAGATACCGTTTTGTGAGAATGCCTGTGCCATGTTCTACAGAGGGTGTCAAACTCAGGCCCTGGAAACAAGCCCTCAAACCGCCCTGGAAACAGCAAAGGACTGGCCTGTGGTGCCTCTGCCAGAGAAAACAAAGCCTGGGCGGGCCATGTGCGGCCTCCTTGACCTCCATATTTGCTGGCAGGAGGCTGTTGTGGCCAAAAATGGAGCCTCAATGAGTGATGTGGAGCTGGTCACGTCCCCCCCGCCCCAGCCACATGCTCCCTCAGAGGTCAAACACAACCCTGATGTGGCCCTCAATGAAATCGAATTAGACACCTCTGTTCTACAGGTTCTCAAAAGGTTGAATTGCCATCAGACTTCCCAGACAAGACCGTGCAGGAAACAAGCCTAGATGAGCTAATGCTACTTCTAATTCTAAGGCTACATTAACAGAATCTGGCAAGTCTGAACATGCAAATTTCCCACTATCTCTTTTTACAGCGTGGTAAATTAGGCAAAATCCTTTTGAGTTTTGTTCTCTGACCCTTAGGCGGCTGCGGGTTGTCCCCTCTCACTTTACTTGATTGTTTCCTATCCTAGGTAGCATCTTTCTCCATTTTCCCTTGAGCTTCAGTTCATGGACAGACACCCTGATATTTTCCTGTAGAATTTATTGGCAAATTCTGTTAATATTGGTAAGGTGTTCCCATCTGGTCCACCAAAGCGGATCCAAATGATGTTAGTGCCACCATGATCTTTCACAAGCTGGATAAAATTCTTATGCTGAAATGCACTGTTTCCCTTTCTCCAAACTAGCACTTCTAATTCAGGCCAAAATGTTCTATTTTGTTCTCATCCAGCCACCTCTGCAATTCCTGTATAGGATCACAACTCCGGGTCTCCTCTCTTAAAATGCCAATTTACCTCACCAGTTAAAGGGGGGAATCTTTCTTAATGGCCTGGATCCTTCCTCTAGGGACTTAGTTAAATATGAACTCAGGGCATATATAAAAGCAAAATACCACTCATGCATCATCACAAAATCTCCAGAACTGTAAAGCCTACAAACTTGAAATTTTGCACATATGTTCCTCTTGGCTTCTAGGTGCTCACTAAGAAAGGGTTTTTTTCAAAATGACTATCACAGCATTAGTATTTTGTATATTATTATTAACACGCTTTGATGCTAAGGCTTTCTACTCCCCCTCCCCACCTGAAAAGAAATCTGTTCCAAATGCAGAACACAAGCAGAGGAGAAGAGTTTCAGTTTTACAGCACCAAGCAGCTTTAGTACAGAACAGTTGAGCTAAGCCAATCCCAGGCTCCTTGCTGTCTCCTTCTTGCTCACATGGCAAATACTGTATCAGTTTCCAAACTTCCCTCAACTCTCTCACACACTGACAAGATGAAGCCAGATGAATACCAATGGATGCTGGTAAGCAAAGGCACAATTCCACCACCACCACCCCACTTATTTTCCTCCCCAAAAACTAAGCCCAATCACATAGTTTCATAGCAGAGCACGGGTATAGAACTAGTTGTTGATATAGTAATGTCCACTTATTAATATTCATGAGCAGAGTTATTTCTATATGCTTGCAGGAGTCAAGAACTCAGCCTGTTCTTTCTCCAGCAAATACAATACTCTTTGCAGCCTGTTGTCCTTGCAATAATGCAGTTAAATTCTTAACTCCTAGAATTCCCATCAAATAGCCATTCTTAAAGCCAGCTTGTCTAGTGGTGAAGGCACCAAGCTAGAAAGCAGGAAACTCCTGAGTTCAAGCTCCTTCTTAGCCAAAGCCAACTGAGTGACCTTGGGTCAGTCTCTCCCCCCCCTCCCATTTCTTGCAACATTTGTTAAGTGAATCACTGCAGTTGATAAGTTAGTAACCCGTTTGTTAAGTGAATCAGGCTTCCTCATGGATTTTGCTCCTCAGGTGGCCAACTCCGGGAAACTGCAACCATCATAAACAAGAGTCAGTGGCCCAGTGTCTGAATTTTGATCATGTGACCACAGGGATGCTGCAACGGTTGTGAGTGTGAAAAATGGTCATAAGTCACCTTTTTCAGTGCCGTTCTAACTTTGAACGGTTGGCAAATGAATTCAATCTTTAAGTTGAGGACTACTTGTATGTTCGCCGCCCTGAGTAATTCATAAAAATAATAAATACAGGATATAAATTACATGTAGTCCCTGACTTACAACAGTTCATTCAGTGACCATTGAAAGTTACAACAGCAGTGAAAAAAGTGACTTATCACCATTTTTCACAGTTATGGCCTTTGTAGCATCACCATGATCATGTGATCAAATTTCAGATGCTTGGCCACCAATTCAGACTTAACGACCGTCACTGTATCCCAAGATCGCATGGCCCCCTTTTGCGACCACCTAATAGGCAAAGTCGGTGGAGAAACCAGATTCACTTAACTGAGTTACTAACTTATCAACTGCAGTGATTCATGTAACAACCATGTGGCTTGTCGTAAAAACAGGGTGAAACCCACTCAACAAATGTCTCACTTAACAACAGAAATGTGTGGTCGTAAGTCCAGGACTATTTATAATGGAAAGCCAGGGAGTTCTCAGGTGGATGACACCAGACTGGGAAAGGCTGGAACTGAACATCTTCTTCCGATCAGGCTTGTTCAAAATCAACATTGATCTTGGATCTGTCTTCTGCATTGTCACTACAGGTGAGGAGGAGCACGATAAAGAAGGCCGGGTGATCACAGCAGAATTCCCCTCCTACTTTCTGGTGACCGCCTATGTGCCCAACGCCGGTCGGGGACTGGTGCGCCTGGAATACCGCCAGCGCTGGGATGAGGCCTTCCGCTCTTACCTGGAAGGCCTGGCTGCCCGCAAGCCCCTTATCCTGTGTGGGGACCTCAACGTAGCCCACCAGGAGATTGATCTGAAGAACCCCAAGGGGAATAAAAAAAATGCTGGCTTTACTCTAGAAGAACGGGCTGGTTTCACCCAACTGTTAGAAGCTGGCTTTGTCGACACTTTCCGGCATCTCTACCCCGACACCCCCCATGCCTACACTTTCTGGACATACATGATGAATGCCCGGGCTAAGAATGTGGGATGGCGGCTTGACTACTTTGTCATCTCCAGAGGGCTTCTGGAAGGGCTGTGTGACAGCAAGATCCGCTCCTCAGCCTTGGGGAGTGATCACTGTCCCATCACCCTCTATGTGGCCGTGTAACATAGGGTTACATGCAGAGGAAAGCCCCAAGCTTATTATTACAGCTTGAGTGGGAAAAGAAAATCGGAGCTAAAATTATGTCTATGACTACTTAACCCTAATTTTGGAGCAGTGTTTTTCAACCATGGCAGCTTTCAGACTTGTGAACTTCCAACTCCCAGAATTCTGGGTGGCTGACTGGGTGGGAACTCTGGGAGTTGAAGTCAACACATCTGAAGGTCACCAAGGTTGAGAAATACTGCTTCAGACTCAGGATTTGAATTCTGTTCCATCAGGTCTTGTTTTGGGGTTCCTCTGCCTGCACAAGTTCTCTAGAAAAGTTTAATGATTTAAAACAGAGCTGGGGAACTATAGCCTTTTTATGAGCTATACTAGCTCAGGAATTCTAGGAATTGAAGCCCACAATCATAAAGGAGCCATCATTCCATACCTCTGGCTTAAAAGGTGGGGCTGGAGCAGGGAGGTGCAAGCTATTAAAAGCATCCATTGATTCCTGAGATAGCAAAGATCATATTGGTATCTTTTGTTTTCTAGTTTTTTGAAAAAAAAATGAGAAAAGGTTAGACTAAGTGGGGGCATTACTCCACAGCTGTTGTTCTCCAGATGTTAGTTGTTTTGTCCTTGAGTATTGCTCATTAAAAAGTAACTTTCCTCCCTCACCTTCCCCCCCTTTGCCCTGCTTTGAGAAAAATGTAATTCACCAAAATGTATTTTGATTTTCCAGAAAACATTAAACTTCCCTTTCATAAAAGATAAATTATTTGATCGTCTCATTTTCTATCCAGAATGCTATCCGTTAACAATTTCAGTGTATGGCCTTTTAAGCAATGATTTCCTTTAACTTTAAACTTTATCCCCACCTGATGGTCAAAGTGGTAGGGAAGAATTTCCAATCCGAGTTGGTTTTCACAATAACTTTGGTAATTACATACTCTGCTCTTCACAACAGGCTTTTTATTTCCAATAATGGAAAGCTGACAGGTCATGATTTACCTTTAAGCCAAGTATACATTCATGCACATCCGTTTCATCAAAGATAAAGCTTTCTCTGTCTGGTCCTATCTGACTCTATTGGATGATGCTCATCTCCATTTCCTACCTTGGAAGCCAGCGTTGCCCATGGTCATGTGGCCCACATGATAACACTTAATGCCGTTACATTCCCACTGAAATAGTACCTATCTTATTTCCTGGCATTTGCATGCTTTTGAACTGCTACCATGTTTCTGCGAAAATAACACTGAGCCTTGAATAGATTTTTGCTCCAAAAGATACCTTAGGGCTTATTTTACAATTAGGTCTTATTTTGGGGGAAATACAGTAATGCATGTCTGGTGGGCAGTCTTAACTGGCACCTATTTTGGGAGTAGGGCTTATATTACAAGTATCCGGGAAAACCATGCTAGGGCTTATTTTCCTTTTGGGTACACGTGGTAGGTGGGCAAGCAGCTAGGGCAAAGTTGGGAGTTCATCTTGTCACACAGTGCTTTTAAACCTTTTCCAGCTGACAAGCTCAGTGTCTTTAGCCACTAAGCCATCACAGTCCCTTATCTATTTGCCCTGTATTGGCTAAAGTACTCATTTCTGTATTTGGAGAGTTGGAAGCCCTCTCTAGGAAAAGCTGTGGTGGCGCAGTGGTTAGAATGTAGTATTGCAGGCTAATTCTGCCAGCTGTTCAATCCTGACCTGCTCAAGGTTGACTCAGCCTTCCTTTCTTCCGAGGTCAGTAAAATGAGGACATAGATTGTTGGGGGCAATATGCTGACTCTGTTTACTGCTTAGAGCTATAAAGCACTAAGAAGCAGTATATAACTATTTATATAGCTATTGCTATAACGTGTCCTAGGAACATCCCCCAAAGTACCTTAGCCTGTGCTAAATATTGCCCCATTCCAAGTTAAGCTAATTTCCCCTTAAGTTGCTCACTGTCTTAAAAAAAAAAAAACAAGCTCAGTAACCCTGGGGATCACTTTCACAGGGAAGGAAGAAGAGGTTTTTAGATTTCAACCTGGGAAGGGTCCTCAGGCAAGTCCAACTGGGAGGAATGTCTAACTTCAGCGAGAAGCCAGCAATACAAGATGTGAAACAAATCAACTCCATCGGACATGACTTGGTTGTCTAAGTTCTATCTTTTTAACCCCTTGGCATATCTGCATCAAGGATGGGATTAACATTTGAGAGATAATAATCCATGGATTAGTGGAAGACCTGGTAGATGAAGGAAATGATATCAGAGCTATAACTGATTCATGTCAATGAGCCTTGCTGACACCAGAACAGAACACTGGATTAAATTACACACAGAAACCCATTTTGCCGTTTTTTAATTAAGTTATGTAAACAATTTGTGTGGTGACCCATTTTAAGCAACGGTTCGGAATTTCCTCCAACTGAAATACATTTAATCAAACCGACTCTTAATCAAAGGAATTTCCTCCCTTAATCAAAGGACATTCGGTCAAAATCAACTCTTAATTGAAAGAAATAAATTTCCTCCCCCTTAAGGTGGCTTATTCTGAAAAACCACACGACTGCAGCTTCCTGTCCAATTAAGTCAGTTATGGAATAGCTACTTTTATTTATTTACAGTCATCCAATTCACAGAATAGTTACTTTTTTCTTTATTTACAACCATTCAAATGTGCCTGTGGAAGAGAAGGAAAAGGATGACAGACATGTTCAATCATGGCTGAAAAAGAGACAGACATACGGTGCAAGCGCACAGGCAGGCAAGCAGGCAGGCAGCCAACACGGAGGAAAGTTATCTTAAATAGTTCTATGTACATTTTACTCCTTATATACAAGCTGCAACAGGTTTAGGGCTATAAGCTCGATGCCATGGAGGTGCAAGAAAAGAGGGAAGACTGGGGTAGACGACTCGCACTGAGAAATATCAAGCCAGGTTTGTAATAGGATTGAGAGGTTTCCCTAAGTGGAATATCTGTTTGCTGCATGACTCAGGGCATACTTTCCTCTGTACGACAGAGTGCATGCACCGTTTCCTCCCCCTTCGGTCTATGTCATCAACTAGTAAGACAAAAGAAGGGATGAAAATCTGATTTAGTAGGCTCTGGAAGAAGAGACTTCTCACAAGGGAGAATCTGCGCCTCAATTCAAGGTTGAAATAAATCCTCCCAGCACGTTCAATCAACTGCAGGTGGTGTTGGCAGTTCTCCCTTCAACCTTTTGAACAGAAAAACAAAACAAAAACAAAACATATAGCTATGGCTTGAACGGGATCTTCAAAGAGAGACGTGCTGGTCCCTAAGGCTGCTCTCATCTCGCCCCCACTGAAAACAGAGTTTAGGTTGTTGGAGAAGAAACAGGGAAGTGGCTCCTTCAAGGAATGTGCAAAGATTAAGAAACCAAAGCAGAAACGAGCCCCACAGTTAAATGTACCTAAACTTCTTTAGCGGAAGACTTCTGGATCTCACATTGTAGATCACAGAAAGGGGGAGAAAGGAATCAAAATTCATTAAACGAACATCTATGTCCCCCCCCCAATCCTGGGGCTTTGGTACTAATCCTTTATGGAACGGCCTTCTCTCATTCCCCGGGGCACCTTCACATTTGAGGATTGTGGAAACAACCTCGACCCTTGCAGCTTTTAGCTACCCCCTACATTACAGACCACAGGATGACTGAAAAAAACAAGAAAAATCAATACAGCAGCGATTCCTCGATGCTCCTCTGCCTTCCCCTCTCGACCAGAAAAAGGTTCTTAAGCAGCCTCTGATGGGAGCTCAGAACAGAGTCCTGGACACCATCTTCTGAAGTGCCCCCACTGAAGACCTGTAGTGTTATCTCAATGGGTTCCGCTGTTTGGGCTGGGTCATCTCCAAATGTCACCGGAACAGCTGCCACTGGTTTGATCCCAAACCATCCAGCTGCGTCCAAGTTTTTCTTTTGGGAACGATTAGTGTTCTGTTAATTCGCAGGATCCATAGGAACTTTGACCCCTCCCCTCCTCCCGGGATTGGAAGAACCCGACAGAACTGGGCCTTCAACTTCTTTGGAGTCAAAATTGTACTTTCTTTTGCCATCAATCCTGGCTCAGTGGAACAGAGATGGAAGAAGACTGGTAGGTATCAGGGTTGTCCCACAGTTACTCAGATGATGACACTGGGAGCGGGAACAGCAAGAAGGTGGCATGGCAGACCCAACTTCAAATGGAAGCGGAGGGGAGGGTACGGACCCTGGGTCCCTGGAGGAAGAGGCGGTCGAGCAGCGGTGGGAAACTAAGAGGAGCTTGGAGAGGCTCACGAGAAGTTCTGGATGGGGTGGCTGACCCTCATGCAGGCCCAGTACATAGCTCGGCCAAGGAAAACCAAAGCCAGGAAAATCACCACAGCCCAGGCAGCATAGACACCCCTGTACTGCTGGGCTTGTTTCCAGGTACCAAACTAGAAAACGAAAGAAGAGTCAGAAATCAACTTCACAATAAAACAGCTTAATAGACTTACTATAAAAGAGAAGTGTGTGTTTGTGTTCAATAGAACTTTGGGTTCAGCAAAGAACCACAAAATGTCTCTAATTTTGTCTCCAAGTGCTGAAAGTTGGGGAGACATGATGGTGAATTTTCTATATTAGATGCATAACCCTCCCTTTTTTCTTTTTATCAGAATGGACCTATACAGATTCAGCCTCCTGGAACTGGATTCTGAATAGGGAGAGAAGCTGCTCCTTCCAAACTTTACTACTTCTCTTCCTTTCAAGAGAGACCTTGGACACCAGTACTACAGATAGTCCTCCATTTACAGCAGTTCCTTTAGTGACCCCATTCAAAGTTAAATGGCATATTTTTTCACACTTATAACCACGGCAGCATCCCTGAATATTAATCAATGTGATTTTACATTTGGATGTTTGATCACTGCTTCGTATTTATGATGGTTGCAGTGACAAGTGATTTTCTTTTGCAGCCTTCTGATAAGCAAAGTCAATGGGGAAGCCAGATTCATCTAACAACCATTTTACTCGTTTCACAATAGTAGTGTTTTGCTTAAAAAAATCTGGCAAGACCAGTCATAAAATGGGACAAAACTCACTTAAATTTCTCATGTAGCAACATTAATTCTGGGCTCAATTGTGGTCGTTAAGTCAAGGACTACCTGTATTCAGGACCTCCGTCTGGTGTCCTCTTTAGTATTAACATTGCTTCTTTTATTTTGGACAAATGCTTGTATAATGAACTGGTACGTAAGGGTTCCTTTAGGGCAGGAGGAAGAAATATTCCTTGAGCTTTAAAGTGGAAATGTGGGAGTTGCAGAAAGCTTGTCCTCATAAAAGGGCCATCCCTATACTAAATAACCATCATTTCAAACCAGACACTGACTTAAGTATGAGCCTAAGTGGGAAGAGCTGTGCTTCTTCTAGATATCTAGTATTAAACAGTTTTTGATTTCAGGTAATGAGTGCCATGTTCAGTTGCCTCTCTCCTATGGGAAAAAGTGGCCTCAAGTCAAGACTGACCTTGGACACATCTCTCTCTGTAGGCTTCTTGGCAGCAAGATCAATGGAGTTTGTCTCTTTCGTTCTT